CATAATAGTTGATTTAATATAGATGTTTGGATTTGGGTACCTTTAGTTAGAAACAAACTTCTATAGTTACTTTAGCTTTTATAAACTTCATTTGGCAAATTCTTTTTTTAAACACTTCTTTTTGCACCATTTAAATCCACTAGATTTATTAAGTTTTGTTCAAACTAGACAATGTCTTTCAAAATAAAATATGAAAAAACTACAGAATATGGCAAACATCCCTATATATTCAAGAAAAATAGCTACATTTTTTTTCATGATATATGGATATAACTACACAATAAATAGCAAAGTTAATTATATACAAATAACTATATTTTTAATATATATATTTAATATAAATAAATATTAAATAGGAAGGTTATTATTGAATGCCTAGTTAATTATGGCAGACACTTTTTACGTGATCTTATTCCAATGTTTACCATCATCAACTTTTTTTCTTTCATCAATGTTCATATATCATATATTTTCTGATTTTCCCCCCAAATTCATTCAAATTCAAGATCCTTTTACATTATTTTGCGAGCCATTTTTGTGATTTGTATCCATCAGGTATCTTCTAATTGCATCTTTATCTCGTTATTATGAAGATTATATATTTACTCATCTATACTTTCATCTATTTTCATAGGATTTTGATTCAAGAATTTGTATATCCATTTCAATGGTTGAAATTGGTACGAGGAGGGTTACGAGAGGTATACATTTATTTGACAACTTGTTGGACGAACTATCTTCTTTTGATTTGTGTATTACTCAACAACAAGCCAAAATTGCAGGCTCTATTGTTGATATAGTGAACGGAAAAAGAACAAAGAAGGTTAATGACCCTATACCCTTGAATCTGCTTGAAGAAATTGAACATACACAATTAGTAAAGAGGAAAGAAGGTTCAGAACCTTTAGAAGTAAAAACTTATCTTGAAAAAGGAGAAATTCGACAATCTTGATTCAAGTGGATGTGAAAAAAAGAGCAGTCGAGCAGGAACAAGAGGAAAATGAGACTGAGGTTTGTATGCTTTATTTTTTTAGTTTGATGCCATTTACTTATATATCTCAACACATGTATTGTGTGACATTGCCATTATGGATTGTCCTCTTGTATTGAAATTGTTAAACAAATTGATTTCGCATGTATATAGTTGTTAAAAAATGAGTACAAGAAGAACATGGACAAAAAAGAGATTGAGAGTTCTTTGATTGTCAATTTTGTATATAGCAGAATATATATATATATATATATATATATATATATATATATATATATATATATATATATTTATATTGGCATTTGTATTATTATATAAGCACAAATTAAAATGTTGATCTGTGAATACAATTATATCTGATATATAAGTACTCTATCAAATTTAAAAAGCTGATTAGAAAATTTAAGTATAGTTGGATACATTAATACTATTTTTTATAATAAAATGCTTGAGTTAACACAAAACTTCATGTATTACAGAAAAAATTGACCAAAAAATGATTGACGTTTGTTGGCATTTTCAATTTTTTATGTAGAAGCATACTTATACAGTTTGATACCCACAAATTGTATCTTGTTTAACGTTTGTCTAATGTATCTATCTTTTTGTTTGACAACAGTATTGAAATGTATCCATCTTTATATACATAGATACTTGTATTGTTATATAAGCACAAGTTGAAATGTTGATTTGCGAATACAGTTATATCTGGATACATAAGTACTCTATCCAATATAAAAAAGTTGATTAGGAAATACAAGTATAGTTGAATACACTAATATTGCATTTCTATAATAAAAATTCTTGATTTAACACCAAATCTCAAGTATTATTGGAAAAATTGACATGAATACTTATACAGTTTGATACCCACACCTTGTTTATATATCTAGTTTGTCCAACGTATTCATTTTTGTGTTTAACAACAATGTATTCATTGTATTCTATATTGGTATATTCATTTTTTGTTTAATTCATTTTTTAAATTGTCGTGAGCTTACATTGTTTGATATATTGATACATTAAGTTTTAATAAATACTTGAATCCTGAATATATTAGTAATACTTTGAGTTTTATATGCTAACCGCACAAGTAATACATTTTTCATTTGTAGGATATCGATTTATCACAACACATCGATGTGGTTCTCTATTACTTGCGTAAAAAAAGTAAGTACAACGTTAATAGCCGATACATATACCCAACTGTTGATTATGTGTTCAAGACAAAGATTGCTGACATTTATGTCGCATATGCTAACGTTGAAAGCAAAGTTTGTGTTGCAAACATTGAAAACGACATACGTGAATACATAAATGACTACAAGTTGATGGCTGCTATTCCATGAAATACAGTCGACAACGTGCTCATACCAGTTAATGTGAAGCAGATGAACCATTGAGTATTGCTTGTTCTGTCATTGGTTGAACGACACATTCATGTATATGACTCATACACATCAGCAGGACAAGATTCTTTTGTTAGGATGGAAATTCAAAAGCTTGCTCAACTTCTGACGATGTATCTATCCATGTATTATGACGATAACATGGACGATACGCAAGATCTGAACATTCAATTCGATGTGACATACGTGCAAGATATACCTCACACTACAAGAAAAAGAGTCTCTAAGGAAGGGAAATCTGGTCCCTGAAAGTTCAAATCTGGTCTCAAATGAGCAACTGAGACTAGAAAAACCTGGTCGTCACTCGTCCTAGAAGCTACCGTCGCTACTGGTAAGTAAGGACGAGTTCAAAAATCTTGTCCCTAAATGGTTTTGAGACGGGCCAAAACTCTGGTCGTGAGATCCTGTTAGTGACTATATATCTGGTCTCAATTAGACCATTTATATCATGGAATTCATGTCGTTAAACCTCTTTTGTGACGGTATGCAATGTAGTCCTAATAGAGCTTTAGAGACGAGTGTAACCTGGTCCTAAAATAGCATTAGAGACCATCAAAAATCTGTTCCTAAAATAGCTATAATGACCTTAACAAACTGGTCCTAGAGTAGTTTTAAAGATGACAAACAATCTGGTCCTAAAACAACTTTAAAGACGAGAATCATTTCTAGTCCTAGCTTATATATTAGAGACGAGTAACAAGTTTGGTCCTAGATTGACCATTATAGACGATCAATAATTGTGGTCTATAACCGACCACCTTCCTAGAGACATTAATATCGCAAAAATCTAAATTCATCAACAAATACCAAAATGATTACTACTAAAAATATGGATACAAAAATATCTTATAGTGAAAGGGGGTAGGAAGATATAGATAACAGTGCGATTGATTACGATAAATTGGTTAACATCCCATGATGTTAGTTTCGATATTTGTTTAACAAAAAATCTCGGATAACATCAAAAGTTTTGCAAAACATTCATAGCAAACTAATAATGAGTTAGTGCATCTTCTAAACTTGCATCTTCACTGAAGAATGAACAAAAGTCTGGCAGAAAACTTTAAAATTTCAGTCTTTGTCAAGTGATATCCAGAAACATCAACAAAACCTACAAGAAATAAGAAAAATCTATTAGAAAACTTTGAGATACATTAGCCAAGAATCCAACATCTATTTTGAAGAACCAGAACTAAATAACATTTGGTAGATAATAGAAACAAATGGAATGAATTAGCATAAAAGACGAGCTAGATTAACATCTCAACAGAAAACGTTAAAACAGAGTAGCTGGCTGCGATATTGTTGCAGCATAGTAGAAAATTTCAAAACAAAATTTGTGTCGTTATGAAGTTATGTAGAAAATAAAAAACACAGCCAACATAAAAGATATGTACAGTTGCAATGCATCAGTCTCTGAACTCATCTCGTCTTGTCTCGTCACCTCACCTCAACTCGTCTCCTCCTCTAACTGACCTTGTTTAAAATAAATTAAGAGTTCAAATGTAACTCCAACTAATGTTTTCAATGTTCTACATTGGAACTACTAGCTCTAGTAATAGGACTGAAAATGGCGGCTCGACGGAATATCTCTAATCTACAAATTGAAACTGAATCAACAGAATAATTCAGGTGATTCACAAAGGTCATGATTCATACACCAGGTGGACTGTAGTATTTCTGCTGAGTCAGATTCAAATTGACTGAATGAATAACATAAAAGACGAGCTGGAGTAACAATATTTTGGCAGAAAACGTTAAAACAGAGTAGCTGGCAGCAATTTTGCAGCAGAGCAGTATTTCTGCTGAGTCAGATTCAAACAGACTGAATGAATAACATAAAAGAAGGCAATGCATCAGTCACTCGCCTAACCTCGTCTTGTCTCGTCGCCTCTCCTGAACTCATCTCCTCCTCTAACCAACTTTGTTTAAAGAAATTAAGAGTTCAAATTTAGCTCTAACTATTCTCTAAGCAATCACTAATTTTGCATATATTTATAGATAACAATCCAACATCTATTTTAAGAAACTACAACTAAACAACATTTGGAAGGAAATAGAAACAAACGGACTGAGTGAATAACATAAAAGACAAGCTGGAGTAACAACATGTGGGCTGAAAATGTTAAAACAGAGCAGCTGGCAGCAATGTTGCAGCAGAGTAAAAAAATAATGTACTATGTTCTAAATGTTGCGCCTTTTTATTTTTATTAGAAGGCAATGCATCAGTCTCTCGCCTCACCTCGTCTTGTCTCGTCGCCTCTCCTCAACTCATCTCCTCCTCTAACCAACTTTGTTTAAAGAAATTAAGAGTTCAAATTTAACTCTAACTATTCTCTAAGCAGTCACTAATTTTGCATATATTTATAGACAACGATCCAACATCTATTTTAAGAAACCACAACTAAACAACATTGGGAAGGAAATAGAAACAAACGAACTGAGTGAATAACATAAAAGACGAGCTGGAGTAACAACATGTGGGCAGAAAATGTCAAAACAGAGCAGCTGGCAGCAATGTTGTAGCATAGTAAAAAGTTGGGTATATTGTTACTAACTTGGTTAGCTGAAAAGGTAGTGGTCATTCAGTTGAAAAGGACGATGTTGTAGCTGGTACATGTGATTGATGAGCCACGAAGAGTTCTTTCATTTTCATTACTTCTTTCATCGCATCTTCTAAGGTAGACAAGCGATTGGTCAAGGATTTGTTTTCCTCATTCAAGGATTTGTTCTCTTCATTCAAGGATTTGATATCCTCTCGAGTTGAACGCAGCGCAGATAACAATTCAGCTTTTGAGGAAGTTCCACCTTTCAAGTCTTTTGCCTTTACTCCACCCCCAAATCCAAATACGTGGCTACGAGTTTGAGGTCCACAACATTTTTCAACAATCTCTAAGGTAGGTAGAGATGGATCTACTTGAACCATTTCTTCGAGTTGAGCCTATAAAATATATCAAAGAACATTTTCTATTATAAAACATGACAATTTTAAGCAATTTACATATTTAATTTACAAAACGCACATGTTTTTCAATTGCTTCAGGTTCAACAAGCTTGTTATCTTTCTTACGAGTCTCAAAGAAAATAGTTGCCAAATCTGGTGGATTTCCATCTTTTCCGCCCTTCACATCAAAGTCAAACATGTCAAATAACACACACCTCATAAATATTCCATTTAGAAAACTAATTTTATGATAATACCTTTTGATAAATAATCTCTCGAATAGGCTTGCTACCAATATGATGAAGCATCTTTAACTTTGCTCGATTTGCTGCATTCCTAGTGCTTCTTGCCTGTATTTGTTCACAGTAAGCTTCTAGTGCGAGTACTTAAAAACACTGGGATCATAGATATAAATATTTTCGAGATGGTCATTTCTTATATGAGAAATTTGGATTCTGAACTTAAAGAAGAAAAACCAATGGTTCTTGGAAGTTGCTTATAAATGGATGATAATTGGTTGATGCAAATGGATACTTAAAACAATTTATTTTCAAATTTGAGTCAGCAATATGAGCTAGTCATAGCAAGATGTAATCAAGAACTAAAATGCTCTATAACACTAACATATTGGTATAGAACAAAAATAAATTAGGAATGTGAAATCTGCACCTTCTTCATACAATTTTCCTGTACTTTAGAACAAAAACTGAATTGTTTACTCACCTTTGCATCCTAAACTCACAAGATAAATGTGGCTTGCCCAGATTCAAAAAAAAAAAATTAGGCATGGATTAGCTAGTTGGTGCATCAAGGATACAAACTCAGGTTTTTTTCCAGGTCTATTAGGTGCTAAGGAGGGAAATCAAACTGTACAAAAGAGTAGAAAAGCAGACTATTAACTTAATAGGCGTACCTGAAAACTTTCAGAAGCAAAATGTTCCTTTACTAACCATTCCCATTCTTTTTTGTCTACTCCTCTTGGGACATTCTTAAGAGACTGTTGGATAGGCTTGTCCTTCACATATTTTGCATGCAAGTGTCCTCTCCATTTGTACCATAACTCATTCATCCATCCCAAGATATGATCACGATGATCATTCATATCAACACTCTCAAATTTGTGCTACAACAATTGAAACATGAGTTGAGTTATTATTTTCAAAAAAAGAGAGGCATCATAAGTTGTACATCAGGCGTATATTTGTTACCTCAACGGCTGCCCACATGTGATTCAACTTTTCTTGCTTAATATCATGCCACGATGATACCCCCAAGGGACAAATATTACGATCACGCACAATTTTTCCCAAATGCCTCGAAAAAAGATTGCTATTTGTTCCAACCGTTCGATTATTGTAAAAGGTGACTTTCAACTTTTGTCCAATTTCAAGTGAAGCAACTTGTTTGCACATGTTGCTTCCTCGAACTCTTCTTACCTTTGTAGGACTAGATGACCCTACAACAACATAATTGGATAAAAACTATAGCAATCAAACTAATTAAAATTTAATAACATATTAATTCAAAATATCATACCTTTTTCTGTTGTTTGAGAGTGGTTCATAACTTGATCAACAGATGGAGGTAATGAAACATTGGTTTGCATATTCTCTTTCTGAAGAACCAATTTTTTCATGTTTTGCATTTCTTGATTAGAAGACATGTTAGAACTCAATTTTGTGCATTTAGAAGGAGTTTGCATATGCCGATTATCAAAAACAGCACTCTTGTTGAAAGATCCCAATTCATGTTCATCACTTCCCAAAGAGGAGCTCAAAGATCTAGTTCTTTTCTCAAGTCCCTTTCCTGTACCACCTAGACTCACTTAACAGGATATAAAAGTTTATCAAAAAAGTTGAAACCACGGTATATTTGTAAAAAATATAATGTTTTTGAAAAAAATCTTACTTGTTTCAACTTCTTGGGTGTATTTCTTAACTTGATTAGTCATAGGAGATGCAGTATTAATTTGCATATTCTCTTTCTCAGGAGCCATGGAGTTCTTATGCATCATTCGTATTCCTTGACTAGTGGACATGGTAGAGTTTTTAAGTCCTTGGCCATTCCCTGTAGAACCTGAAAAAAAATAAATCATGCAACTAATAGTTTAGCACAGTATTTTGGAGAGCAAGAAGCTGAAAAAAAAGACTCACCTCGAAGGGCTCCTAAAGACAAGATATTTAAGTACAGTGAGATAGAGCTGCTTTTTGGCCTGATATTTAACTTTTTATCATGGAATTTACATATCAGTTCGTGCCATATTGAAGGTAAAAGGGTAGATAAGATTGTACGCATGATAGCATAATTATACATATTAATATCTTATTCCTATATTCTACATCAAACAGAGCACTCAACAATTAATACAAAGAAGAATGAGAAAATTTCTGAAGAGCCTTGTTGAGGTAAAAAAATAGATCAAATATTCGACAATGGACGCAACTTATAGGAATAAAAGAAAATAAGAGAAATAAATGAAAGAGGTGATTTCACCAGTAAACTTAAGAGGATTTGTTGGAAAAGATATTTATTCTCAACACAATTAAAGATTTTGCTATCCCTTAAAGTGAAAAAATACAAAATATCTTACTTGTTTCAATTTCTTTGATGTACTTCTTAACTAGATCACTTGATTGAGGCAATAAACTCTTAGATGGAAAACTTCCCTTCTCACCCAAAGATTTAAGCCCTCGTCCTCGACCCTTTCCAATAGCACTAGGCGCAACAAACGTATATCTGATAGTACTCTTCATATTAGAATCAACCTCATTTTCAGTCTTCAATGATTTCATCTTGAACCTGCAAAACGAGACAGAACGTTAAAAATTAAACTTGAAAATGTCTAATTATGTAATAATAAAAGAAATTGTGTCATCATAATGTTGAATAATGAAATACTAATTCATAAAAGATACTTCACCTCATTAGTTCTTTTTCTTTTCTTTTGGGAAGGACTTCCTAACTCTACAATATCATCATCCATTTGTTCCACAATCTCAAAGGAATCACGAGGTTGAGTCTTTCTCACTACTTGCCAACCTTTGTTGGAATTATCATTAGCATAAAACACTTGAGATGCTTGATTCGCTAAAATAAATGGCTCATTTGTTTTCAAAAATCTACTTGGATTAACACTCACAAAATCATACTCAACCTTTTTAACTCCTTTTATTTCATCATACACATCGAACCAATTACATCGGAACTCTTCTATCCATGACAAATTGCAACTCAATCACATCTCTTAAAACTCCATAGTAATCAAGGTTCTCACTATCTTCGTCATTCTCACCCAATACAACAACACCACAATTTTGAGTCCTTAACTTGTTATCATAATCTTCTACATGAAACCTATATCCATTAACGACATAACCATTAGAATGCGTTGAATATTTGGTGGGACCACGTGAAAGTGAGAGTAGATCTTCCATGATCTGACTATCATCTTGTTTGTGCAATTGTGCGACCTATCAACAAGATAATATTTAATATTTTAGAATGAGTATCACAATATTAAAATATCAAATTTTGATATTTATGTATTACTCACCCTATCTTTAAACCATGCAATAAATTGTCGGCTCCATTCTGCATCAGACAAGTCTCGAGCATTCTCATGACTTTGTGCAAACTCTCTATAAAATTGAAGTGAACCATAAGTCTCATCTGAAAAGTGATTAACCTAAAAGAAATAAAAATAATGAGATGATATAAAAGAAATCTCCATACTTGAGATATGGTAAGACTTCATCGCAGTTCTTCAATATGTATATATGTGCTTGTTCTAGTTCATCTACTTCAAGCTCACATGGATTTTTAGCTCCTAGAGTTTTTCCAGGTTGACTAAAAATAGATAAACCACCATTCGATTGTTTTAAACCACCATCATAATTTCGTTCAGGACGATTGAATCTTGTGTCAACCTTATGCAAATACCTTGAACATAAAGTCATACATTCATTTGCAATGTAGCCCTCTGCAATACAACCTTCTGGACATGCCCTATTACCAATGAGAGATTTCAAAAAATATAGCCATCGCTCCACGGGATACATCCACCGATATTGAATCGGTCCAGCAATCTTAGCTTCAGTAGCTAAATGAACAGGTAAGTGCACCATGACATCAAAAAAAGAAGGAGGGAAGACCTTTTCCAACTTGCAAAGTGTTATGGGTATTTGTGCTTCAATATGCTCCAAGTTTTCAATTCTCAACTCTTTCGATCCAAGCACAATAAAAAATATAGACAATTCAACGAGAGGTTCACACACTTCTTTGGACAACATACCACGAAGTGCAAGAGGGAGTAGATGTTGCAAGAGAACATGACAATCATGACTTTTCAATCCAGATATCTTGTGATCTTTCAGGTTCACACATTGAGAAATATTAGATGAAAACCCATCAGGAACCTTTAGATTCTTTAAGAAAAGGCACAATTTGTGCTTATCTTCTGGAGACAATGTGTAGCATGCTTTTGGAACTTCTATTTTCTCCCCCTTTTGGATGGGGTGCAATTCTGGCCTAATGTTCATCTCTTGTAAGTCTAATCGAGTGTTAATTGTGTCCTTGGTCTTTCCTTTGACATTCATAATTGTCCCCATGATATTATCACATATATTTTTTTCAATATGCATAACATCCAAATTATGTCGCAACAAGAGACACATCCAATATGGAAGTTCAAAAAAGATACTTTTCTTGTTCCAATTATCCATTCGGTTTTCATGTGATATGTTCTTTCTTATCTTAGGATCTTTTGATAATTGTAACCCTTCAAGATCTTGCACTTGATTAAATATCTCAATACCGGAACACACTTTTGGTGGAGGCCTTTTCTCCACTGTACCATCAAATGACCCCTTCTCACTTCGCCATTTGTGATTCTTAGAAAGATAACGCCGATGACCCATAAAACACTGTTTCTTACCCTTAGTTAATCGAATTGAGGAAGTGTCTTTATTGCAACATGGGCATGCCAATTTTCCTTTCGTACTCCATCCCGATAAATTTCCATATGCTGGAAAGTCATTGATGGTCCATAATAAAGAAGCATGCAACTTAAAATTTTGCTTAGTTGATGCATCATAGGTCTCAATACCAACTTCCCACAACTCCTTCAATTCCTCTATTAAAGGCTGAAGATATGTATCAATTGCATCTCCTGGACCACTTGGACCCGGAATAAGCATTGACAAAATAAAATTTTCTTGCTTCATACACAACCAAGGTGGTAAATTATAACGGATAAGAACTACAGGCCAAATGCTATGTGAGGTTTTTGAATTCCGGAATGGTTGAAATCCATCACTAGCAAGTCCAAGTCGAACATTTCGAGGCTCAACCGCAAATGAAGGATGAAGTTCATCAAATGACTTACATGCCATTGAATCAGCCGGGTGCCTCATTATTCCATCATCCACTCTTTTATCCTTATGCCATGTCATCAGAGTAGATGTCTTGGTAGACATAAACAATCTCTGAAGTCTAGGCTTTAAGGGAAAATATCGTAAACTCTTTGATGCTATCTTTTTACCTTTTTTATTCCTTGTTTCCCCACTATGTGTATTTATTTTCCATCTCGTCGCACCACAAACCTTGCAAGAATCAAGTAAGCTATCATCCTTCCAGTATAACATGCAATCATTAGTACAAGCATCGATCTTGTTGTATGAAAGACCAAGTTCTTGAATTATCTTCTTTGCCTCATAATATGAATTTGGCAAATTGGCACCATCAGGCAATAACTCCTCTTTCAACATTTTCAATAGCATTGTAAATGATGCATTACTCCAATGACCCATACTTTTTATATGAAGCAATTTGATCAAAGTGGAAAGCTTTGAAGCTTTTGAATTTTTGTACAATGGACACTCAAAATCCTTTAATAGGCTGTAAAACTTTCTTGCTTCAACATTTGGTTCCTCTTCAAGAAAGTCATCACAACCAGTATGTGTAGTTCCTCCATCAAGATTAGGATATAAATCTCTCAATAGTTCTTCTACTTCATCTTCACTCTCACATTCTTCTATAGCATCTTCATCTTCATCTTCATGTTCTGATTCTGATAATGGCTCACCCAAACGTTCTCCATGGTGATACCAAAAAGTATAATTGCGAATTATTCCATGTACTAGCAAATGTGTCTCAACTGTTTTACGAGTTCCTAAAGTTGTATTGTAACATTTGACACATGGACATCGTATTTCATCTTCTTCTCCATTTTTTTGAAAAGCATAATTCAAAAACTTTTGCACGCCGATCAAATAGATTTCATCGAGACGATTATCAACAAGTTGCATCCACTGCTTACTAGGTGCCATAACCTTTAAGAGGACATAAAAAAACTTTTTAAAAGATAAAGAATAGCAAAAAATCTAAGATGCAAACAACTTGTTACCATCAGATAAACACAATAGGGTTGAAATCTAAGGATAGATGTCACTAAGAATTATAAAAGATTATAACTTTACTTATAGCAAAGATGTTAGTTCCTGAAACATGATTTTTCTTTGAGCCTACCAAAGATTGGAGCAACTAAATACACAAAATAGTATATATTACGACATAAGATTATCTAAATAGTTGTTTGTTACTAAAAAAAATTACTTGCTTATAGTTCTTTACATAAAGTGGGAACTTGATGATTTGGAAAGGGAGGACTTCTTCTGTTTGAAGAAGATACGAGGTTACAAGAAGAGGGAGGTAGAGAAACAGATGGCCGCTGGAAGGCTATATGCAGTGGAGAAGGCTGCTAAAGATATTTATTTAAAGAGAGGTATTTCGCTTGGTTCAGCCCATAACTTACTGTCCCATGCTTTACAGAAAGATGAGGATATTGTTTTCTGATGTGGAGGTCAGTTTTTATTAGTCACGTCTGTCGTCAAATAAAGATGGATAATACTTTGCGCGTTAACTTTTTTTTGTAGAACCATTTATCTGGACTGCTTCATTTTTGCAATATAGCAAAAGGCCCAGATTACACGCTAACAGAGAATGGTAGAAAATCTGATCATTTTCATGATCAGTATTTTTTTTTCTTCCTGTAAATGAACATGAGAAAATCTGTTCGTTTTCATGATCAGTATATTTTTTTTCTTCATGTAAATGAACATGAGAAAATCTGGGAATGTAGTTTTTTCTCCATTTTAAGTGTAATTTCCTTGATGACTACTGAAGTGTAGTTTCTTACATGCAGGTATGGGATGTTATATCGAATGAAGAGGCTGTAGAAATTGTATCTGAAATTCCGGATAGGGCAAAAACAGCACAGCATATTGTTCAATGTGTTGTTCGTGCTTGGAAATGTAAGAGGAGAGGGATAGTTGTAGATGATATTTCAGCAATTGTACTCTTCTTTCATTCTAAGATTTCTGTCAGCATATTTACCCTGTAACTACTCCAAAATAACACTTGATAGAAAGCGCAAGTTTCTGTTTCTCATGTTCTCCAGCTACCTGCCTTTGGTTAGTTATTTTTTCACAGTTTATTCATGAAATGGATTGGTATTAGTTTAGATACAAAAAAGTCATTCTATTAGATCAAACAAGTTTGGACATACATAAATGATAAAATCTTAGAACTAGATGCTCTTTAAGTAAGCGTAAGTCCAAAACAAGTTGAAATCGACTATATGAATAGTCACTGACAATATTTCTCCATTAGACAATACTTCCAAGTGGTGCAAAAATGATAAATTACAGAAGTAGGCAACTTGGATGATGAAGTTAAAGTACAGTGAAGCCTAGCTGCAATTGAAGGAAAAGTGTTGAATTTTCTGCTCCAAAAATTCTGGGTAAGTTTTCCTAACATAGGACCAGACAAAACAATGAGTTAAATGTATGTGTTGCTAAAAAGTCAGCCCAAGAAAATAGAAAGCCAAAGCCACTTTGTTGCACCATGTCAACAAGGAAATTAGGGCCTATAATTGTACAACTCAAGCAGCCATTTCAGATTGCTATGAAATTGGAAATGCAAATGTTGATCTTCATTCAGAATTCTGTTTTGAACTTTGAACTCATGATAGGTAGTGTCATTCTTCTTGTACTTTCTGTTTAGCCGCTTCTCGTATTTTGATTATATTATCAGATGGAGAGATTTTTAAATAGTTCAATAAGAGCTCTGTGCATGTTTGTACTTAAAAAAAACACTGCCAAAGTATTAGTTCAATTATTTACTCCTTATATTCTGTTTTTTAAACAATTCCTTGTCCAATACTAATGATCAACAAACAACTGATCATGACATTAACTGGTGGTATAGAAAAACTCCTCATCATAAACTATGTAATTACTTCATGTCATCTGGTGATTTCAAACCCAAAAAAACTGCCAAGTTTCGGATCATGAGCACTCTATAAAATATGAATCTTCAGGCTCATAATACACTTCACAAATCGAGTCAACTATTAGAATGCTCGACCCATTAATCTTTTACTGACAAGTAAGAAAACATCGCAGATTATGGAACTTTTAACCTATTAATGTTAGAAAAGAGGAAGAAGAAAATGACTAACTTGAATAAAACAACAACAAAACTCCATCAATACAATTTATGGAAGAACAAAGAAGCTCGATTTAGAAGAGGAACAAACCTGAAATTCCTTTTTTCGCAGCTAAGCAGCAACTACACAATGAAGAAGAAAAATCTGCTATGAAAATTCACTGGCAAAATCGAGTCAACTATTAGAAAGCTCAACCCAATAATCTTTCACTGATTGTAAGGAATAAAACAGAGCATATTATGAAACTTTTGACCTATTTAATGTTAGAAAAGAGGAAGAAGAAGAAGACTAACATGAATAACATAAGAGTCATCAATCAATTAATGGAAGAAACAACAACTCGATTTAGAAGAGGAAACAAACCTGGAATTCTGTTTTTCGCAGCTATGCGCAACAACTACACAATGAAGAAGACAGCGCTGCTATGCACGAAAATTCACTGGTGTTGAGATTGGGGCAGAGTCGAAGCAATAATCCTTCTTTGATCAGGCGGTACTGATTTGAAGAGAGCTAGGGCAAGTTGCGACCATATTTAGAAAGACTTTTCCAATTCCTTTTCCGTCATTTACTTTTCTGAAAAAAATAGCGGGACTTTGCCTTTTTTGGCTTCATTAAAAAAAACTTTAGCGCCTAAAATTTGGTGAAAACAAAAGTTTATTTTTTTAATACTTCAGTATTTAATTTGGGTTGAAGTAATTCCCGCTAATTCCTTCAATTACAATTTGGGACCAGTTAATAAGTTCTTTAGGGACCGGATTTAGTATCTTCCCTATAAAATATATAAATAAGGACCAAAATATAATCTCGTCCCAATACATATATCATTAGAGAAGGGATTACTAGCTCGTCTCTAAGCGTTGGTCTTAAATAACTGTTTTTCTTGTAGTGTCAGCAGCGATATGGTGCAATGTATGTTTACAAAATTGTTTCATCATTCTATAAATTGATATAGCTCTACGAAATCTATTATTTAATAAACTATATATATGTACAGGGATTGTGGACTGTATTTGCAGAATACTTGAGTGATGGCAAAGGTATTTCTGTTGAAACCATTGATGCTGAGGTTACTTCGTACTAGATACAGTGCACGTCTTTGAGAATACGCTGCAAATAAGATTGAAGATAGAGCTGTTAACGACGATGAGGCACCGCCTAAGTTGAACAAGATGCCATGCTCAGAAATGGACAGTAGTGAAATTGTCATGATCAGCTAGTAGCCTATCTAAGTTTTTTAATTTTTAGATGTTTTGAAACTACTATTTCGTTTTGGATATATGTCTAGTCGTTTTTAGCTTAAAGTATTTTAATTAATGAATAAGTGAATTTCTTTCTGGGCAATTAAGAATCGTTGACAGGCTTCATTTTTGTATGCATATTCTTTGTATCTATTTTAACTATATTTATGTATATTAGTATTTAACTATATTTTTGTATGCATAATTGTGGTATCATATTTAACTATATTTATGTATATTAGTATTTAACTATATATTTTTGTATGCAGATTCGTTGTCTCTTATTTAACTATATTTATGTATATTAATATTGCTAAATAGTAATTGCTCGCATGATTTAGTCTTGTTTAGCCATTTTTATCAAGGAATTTTGGTAACATAACTTTGTTTAGGATGAATTTATAATCGGATTTATTGTGGCTCCTAAAATATCACATTGGTTAAACATGTTCATGTTTAAAGTTAAATCCAATCAAAAACAGTTGTATGCAAATAAAATCACTTTATTCAATAATTGTATATTTACTCAAAAGGTATATTCTAAATATATGGGTATGTATTCCTGTGTATTTTTAGTTAAATGTATTTTAATTTTTACCTTCATTGATTTTTTAGTTAACGTTTTTTTTAATTTTTATTCAGTCATTATTATGACATAGCAATACCACATCTTTTGAGACAACAAGAGAATGGGGTATTTAAACTGATAAGAATATGATTGGATATGTCTTTAAATAAGTAATTATTAGTTCTAATGTTAATAATGAGAAATTGCTCATTGTATGGACGTAAATAAGGATTGTGGATTATACTTAGAGTCAATTCCTTATTTAGTTTATTGTACTTAAAGATGTGTTAGTGTATAAATAGAAAAATTAAAAATGTATACAAAAATACAACGAATAAAAGATATAAAATGTAGTCATTTATTGTAAATAACATACTTATAGCTATTGAACTTCAATAACCCTATAAATATATTCATTTTTGTAAGTTGCTCAAAAAATATTTTGTTATAAACACTTATTTTTCTAAAACTTTTTCTGAAGGGAGCAATTTGACAATTAATGAACTAATGTTTATTTTTTTAATTACTTTTTTTAGCCATGGATTACATATTTGTCTAAATTGATCTAAAGATATTATTCTTTCTTAAATCTTTTTCATTCTAATACAATTGCAAAAAAGGCTTTCAAAATAAAAATGTTTTCCAACTTGGTTACCCAATTACTTAATCTTTAGCACTCATATCTGGACGGTAACCGTTTTTAATGGATCTTAAAAGATGCTTAACCCCTTTCCTTTAGGATAACTTGAACCCTTACCTAGAATCACTTAAGTTAAGTAGACCTTAATTGGAGTCAATTTTAGTATTACTTAGTTAAATATTTAGATGTCCTAATTCACCGTAATTAATTAGGTGGCGACTTCTTAAGTTAGTTAATAATTTGGAAATCACCAATATGTTGTACACTGTTTGGACCTCGAGTTGAAATGGGGTATAACAACGAAAACATAACAACTCACTCATAAAAGACAAGAATGACAATGAGGTGTGAATACAATACAATACAATCAATGT